TTTTTTTTTTTTGTTTGATTTTGTGTTTCACTCCTTTTAGCTGTTGGACTTGGCAACGCGGTTTTGCTTCTAATATGTTGCACCTCTACAAATGTTCACCTTCACAAACATTCACATCCAGTTGGCACCCAGTCTTCCTTTCTAACGTCGATGCAACAGCGTGGTGCGGGAATTTAATTATTAAATTGCAAAATATGCTTTCACGTTTGGAAGAGCGCAACGGCGTTTAATAAAGTGAAAGCTTGGTATGCTGATGCCAAATATTTCGATTTTTTCGATGCGACAAAGTTGAATGACTTTCGTGTGTTTTGGGGGCGAAATATATATGAAATTGATAGCACCAATTTGCTAGGTTTTTTTTTAGATTTAGGTATATGAAAAGCTCCAGCTGGCTGGAAATTTAGCGAAATGAAAAAGAAAAGCTTATTTACTATAGCTTCTGGGGTTTCCGTGAAGCTGTCTTCTTAGTTGTGGCATCTGCCTTTATTTCACACTGCGCTTTGAGGTACATTATTGTGAAACAGATATTCATCAGAGATTCGAAAAGTGATTCATAGACTTTTAATCTAAAATAACAAAGCGAAATGCACGCACCGTCGAAGAATGCTCTCATAATGTGAAGTAAAAATTTCTTTTGACATAAGCCGGGTTTTCGAATTTTCTTCGGATTTTTACTTGAGTAATTTTTTCGTGCGGATTTTTAGGGATTTTAGTGAGAAATTTCGACAGTTTTAGAGATTTTTGTTTCTTCATTTTTTCTGTTATTTTTTGATTCAACCGTTTTATGAACGTGCTCTAATTACGTAACACAAGTACGACAAATATCGAAACAACTTCCCTAGTAAAAATTTCTTACACAAATTCTGAACCCCGATTTCGACGGAAATCACTAACAAAAAAAAAACGAATTACAAAATAGCGTGTGCGGCTAGTATTGGAGCAAGTTCGGCTCGCTATGCAAAAATCCTTCCAGTATCCCGCTGGGCTTGGCCCAGGCCTGAAAACTTTATCATGGACGAGATTTTCACAGTTTGTCAAGTCCTGGAAAAGATCTTAGAAAAGCAAATAAAACCACTTTAATGTAGCTTTCAATGCGCAGTATGAAGAGAAGCTGCCTGTACGATGCCATATCTAAATTTGCGATCCCTGCTAAGCAAGTGCAGCTATGCATAGTGATGGTGACCACAACTTTTAGCTACTCTACGGCACGTTCGATATCAAACGAGGTTTTAGACAGGTGTTCATGATGTCATGACAGTCGACTAATGTTCATGTGCCTTCTTCAATCTGATGTGTAAAACGTACCTTATATGAGGCATTCTTTTTTAAGTCGGACAGATTTCGTAAAAAAAATATGTTATGTCCCCAAATCGCTTAAATTTTTTATGGGTTCTATATATGAAATAAGCTAACACGTATTCGTGGAACTTTTTCCTTCAGAGATATAATCTGTCAAAGTTCGAATTTTTTCGTGATCCTGACCAATCATGTGCTTCTTCAAATCATCATATCTCGGGTTCTACTCATCGTAGAGACTTCATATTAATATTTTATTGCGGGTTCTGATAGATTACCTAACCAGAAACAGTATTTGTGTGGT